GCAGCGCTGGCCTCCTCAATGATGCGCTTGATCAGGCAATGCTAGGCAATGTGTCCAATCAGTCAATAGCTTACACTTCACACACAAAAGGGAGAAAATCAACCACTGTATATAGTCATGATGGGAGACTCATGTCAAGTGTCAGAAGCTGTCAGAGAGTACACTAGTGTCTCACTGAGGGACGGTTGTGGACTGGGGAGGGTGAGCAGGAGAACGAGGGGCCAGGGGGGGAGAAGGGAAGGGGGAAGGAGAGAGGACAGGGAGAGGGTGAGTGGTGAGGTATGACAAACGGGGCACTGAGTGATGTGCCTGACAGTATTTCAAGCCCTGAGCTGCCAAAACAGTCACAGAGCTTACTGCTGATGCTTGAAAGCGCACGCAAACACAATGTGGCACATACACTTTACAAGAAAAGCCGAAGAAAATGCCGTTTTGGCAAATGAACAATCTGCAAAGGAGATGCATGCGATGCGAGTAGCAAGCAGCACATAGTTACCAAAGGTCTTGATGTCTTTTCGTTTGGGCATAGATCTGGCACTGTTTTTACTTGGCATGGCATGGTTTCGGTTGGCATGGAACGGATTTGACCTGGCATGGCATGGATTTGACCTGATAGCTGAATGCTGACCTGATAGCTGAGTACTGACCTGATACCTGAATATTTACCTGATACCTGAATTCTGACCTGACACCCCAATTCTGACCTGATTCTTGAATAATGACGTGATACCTGAATAATGACCTGATACCTGAATACTACCGTAACATGATACCTGAATACAGACCTGAATCTACACCACAATTCTGACCTGATACTTGAATACTGACCTGATACCTGAATACTGACCTGACACCCCAATTCTTGAATACTGACCTGATACCTGAATGCCGACCTGATACCTGAATGCTGGCCTGATACTTGAATACTGACCACCTTAATACTGACCTGATATGTGACTACTGACCTGATACCTGAATACTGACCTGATACCTTAATACTGACCTGATACCTGAATACTGACCTGACTACAGACCTAAACAGCTCCAAATCTGACGTGTAAAAACTGGTTCGGCGCATAAAAAAAACAGAGCTGGAGGATTAAGAATGGTACAAGAAGTAGCCAGAAGTAGCCATATGGCACACATGATTCCAAGGAAATTTTTCAGCTTTCTCAAGACTCACGGAAGCTCACCTCTTTGAGGGCCAGCACAAAGCAGTGAAAGCGGCAAAGGTGTCAGAAGCGGTCAATAGTCGCATCCAACGAAAGGCATGAGGGAAGGTTCACCACCACACCCTCCACTACTTTGCCTCACTGAGGGAGGGGAGGAGGGGGGGGGGAGCAGGAGGGGGAGGAAGAGAGGCGTGGGGGAGGGGAGGGAAGGGGAAGGGGAAGGGGGGAGGGACAGAGAGAGGGTGATTGGTGAGGAAAGGATGGGCATGGAGAGATAATCAAGTCATGATTTTGAAGCCTTGAGCTGCAATAACGGTCACAGTGCTTACTGGTGAAGCTGGATTGGAAGCCCACAGAAACACGCAAGAGAAAATAGAGTGACAAGCGCGCTTTCACAATGTGGCACGTGCATTTGACAGGGGGTGTAGAAGGAAATGCATCGTTTGCATTTGAACATAGTGTGAAGATCATGTGAAGCAGCACATTCATGCCAAGCAGCACATTCATGCAGCACAGACGTGCTTCCGGTAGCATGAACAACCATGCATACAAACAATGTGACCCAAACACGTGCTTCCTCAACTACCCCAAACAGCGAGATCAACAGCCCATGCAATTTGTGTCAAGATTTTGTGATATATACATATTAATGATCATAATAGCGTCATCTAATCTACATGGGCCTACGAGTAAGAAACGAAGCCCTATCAGTGAGCTTTATCATTCAAGGTACGACATTTCCTATACACGAGTTAGTGGCAAGTCATATTCGTCACCTCCACCTGGGTTGCTGGCTCTGCTGTTTCTGCGAGGCTGCTGTTGCAGTCTGGCCTCGCAGCTCACTGTTGCTCCCTGCTGCTGCCTGCACTCCCTTCTTCCCCTCCCCCCTCACAGCCGCAACAGAACCTTTTCTCAATCTGCTCGTGGCAGCACCACCCCCACCAGGGGCAGCCGGAGAAGCGTGTATTGCCTTTGGTTCTAATGTGTTGTTTGCTGTTTTTTTAACTGTCACTTCACAAACCTTACCCTTGCATCCGACACTTTTCTCTGCAGCACCAACCTTGCTTGCCTCTCTCTTTCCAGTCCCTCCCACTGCTGCTCCACAGGCTGCTGCCTTCACAGGTGGCTTCACTGCCTTCTGTGTGGCTGATTTCGCTGCTGCTTTCACCGCTGGCCGTCCTGCTGGCGAAGCTGCTGAGCGTGCTGATGGCTTGCACGCAACAGGCTTTACCACAGCCGTTACTTTAGCTGCTGAAGGGGCTGCTGCCTTTGTCACGAACCGAGCTGCTGATGGTGCTGCTGATGGTGCTGATTTAGCTGCTGATGGTGCTGCTGCCTTCGCCACTGACCGAGCTGGTTTATCTGCTGATCGTGCTGATGGCTTGCACGCAGCAACAGCTGATGATGTAGCTGCTGATGGTGCTGCTGGTTTCGCCACTGACCGAGCTGGTTTCGCTGATGATCGTGCTGATGGCTTGCAAACCTCATTTTTAGGTGCACCAACAACAGGCATAGCAGCCGAAGCAGCAGAGAACGACGCCAGCAATGGCGGCAGCAGCGGCATCTGCAGCAGCAGCAGCCACCACAGGCACAGCAGCGGCAACAGCAGCACCAAGAGCGTCAGCAGCAGCACTTGCAGCAGCAGCCAGCGTGCTCACAGCAGAGGCAACAGCGGTAGCGAAGGCGGGTCTCAAAGGCGAGAAGCCCAACCGCGCTCCAAAGCGGTTCTCCCGGCGCTTCTTGTTCTCCTCAACAACAAATCGACCCATCTTGAAAGCAACCTCCGCGGAGGTCATCGCCTTGCGTTCCACAGGTCTCCCGATAACCTGATTTCTCAAATACGCCTCGTCCGCTTCCGTCCATTCAGTGACAAATTCGGCCGTGTTAAACGAATCATACTGCGCCACCCACTTGGCAACGCTCCATCCATCGTGCGGTTTCACTGATCCGCTTCTCAGATATTCTTCATCCTCAGCCGTCCACTCAGGTGTGATGAAATCAGCAGAAGCAGAGTTACCCGCCAGAAGCAGCAGTTCTTCGCTCACAGTTAATGTGGCACGACGAATTGTGACAGGAGCTCTCAGATAAGCCTCGTCCTCAGCAGTCCACTCGGTAATAAAATCGTTAGAGCTTACTGTGAGTTTAGACAGGAGCAGCAGCTCCTGGCTCACGCTGAGTTCAGGTGCTGCTCTCAGCTGAGCTTCATCAGCCACCGTCCATTCGTAGAGGCAATCAAAAGGAAGAGGGTTCACTGCAGGGCAGTCGAACCAGCTCGGTACCTCCCACAGGTACCTCGCTGCGTTTCCGAATGCCGTTGCAGCAGCAAGAGCCACGGCAACAACGGTTTCCGGGTTTATTGACTCCATCCAAGCTGGAAGCCTTCTCAGATTCAGGAAGCAAACTCTAGGAGTGTGACTGAAACAGCCTGTGATTGAAAACTTGTGATTGAAGAGAAATGTTCCCGTCAACTCACCATTTGACGCCGAGCGACGAAAGGCCCCCCCGCTAAGAAAGGAGGCGAAGTTCAAACGTTGCCTCGGCACTGTTCGTCCGGACCTTCGATCCGAACCTATGCCATTACATCCAGACCGCTTGTTCGCTGCTCTATGAGGAAAACTCGGGGCGACCAGTGGATGGTCCCCATTGCTGTTCGCCCGAGTTACAGCCACGTAACACGAGCATCGAACGGTTAATGTGCGTCCAGTACTTCTAGAGACGCATCTGCGGCCAAGATTTGTCCACGATTTACATATTTGCAAACACGCTCACCTGGATGTCAAAACCACGGTTGGATAAGATCGAATCGAACGGCTTAAAACACGCCGTAATGTCCGGGACCTTGCCTACTGCTGGGCTCGGCACCGACATTCGCAGCGCTCGCACGACCCTGACAATCCCATTTCTTGCTCGACCTGTCCCAAGATGACGTGTTTCAGCCGTCGATCTATGCGCGGCATGGCGTGGCGGGGTCGTACCTGGTGGTGGGGTCATAATTGGGGAAGCGCATTGCTCCACGTGAAAGAGACCGATCTAAGCTGCAAGGCTGCAGTGAACTCGTAAACCGGCACGACAGGGGCGGTTGAAAAAGGCACCACATTTTATCTGGCGCCAAAACCGGATGGCTATCTGGTAGATCTAGTACGGTAACTTCGTTCTTAGTCAGAATGGGCGGGCGTCTTTGAATTGCTAGCTCATAGCGAGGAAGCACAACCAGATTGCTTATAGTGGAGGGGAGGGGACTAGTGGTGAGATGGGATGGCGTGGTGGAGCACCAAACCCTAGGTTGCAAGCTCGGTAAGGGCGAACTGATGCGAAGAACTTCTACGACTACTGGCAAAGTAGCCCTTCGCGAACAGCTGCGTTTCTGAAATTTGCGCTAATCACGAACAGATGCGAATATATGTGTTCACCAAAACCACGAACAAAGCTGAGTGTGCGAAGTTACATGACCTAATACTCAATATTAGCAGGCATATTAGGTAGAGACCTGATGTTCTGGAATTTATTCGAGTCTAGTGCAAAGCTGCCACAAAATGTCTAATGATGCGCCATGAGAATACGCAAGTGCAATCCCCCATACGTTGTGTAATTATGTAATACATGTTTTCTGAAGAAAGCCAAGCCACGCATGAAGGCTGAGGCAAAACATACAAACCAGAAAAAAAAAAACGTATTCACAAGGCCTACAGATGGTGCACACAGGGCACACGCGCACCATAAAAAGGGAAAACAAATTTACAATGAAATAAATAACACCAGTCCACCCTTTCAGTGGGTGCAAGAGGTGTGGGTGGGGTGAAGGTCACTTCACTTCCGCACTGACTCATGTCAGCATTTCACTGTCTGCGTCGCTGAGCCCTCCGCAAGAGCCTCACTATCAGCAAGCACCAGCGATGCGTCTTCTATCCGAACGGGCACCGGCACCATTGCGCTTGCATGCTCTGCCGCCTCCTGCCCAACCTCCTGGTTTGGTGACGCAATGTCGGTCGGCACGACTCGGCAGTATATGGGGATGATGTGGAGGGGGGCTTCCACATCCTCCAGCCAGGTGGGGCCTTCAAACGTGTTGGACGGGTTCAGCAGCTCGCACCATGTGCCTCTGGTGAAGGGGTGACAAGGGGAGAGGCAGGAGAAGAAAGATTGAGCCAAGTGTGGGTGAGCAATGGTGAGATGAGGGCCAATCAACAAAAAGTGTCAGGGAGGGAGGGGGGAACGAAGTTAAGGGGGGGATACAAGCACGGAGGGCAAAGAGGAGAGGAGTACGAGATAGGAAATGGAGAGCATGGGCTTGCAACTCACTTGGGGAGGTAGACGTCGCGCTTCTTCTGCCCCTTGACCACCACGGGAGCCACTATGATGTCATCGCCTATCGCAAACTGGTCGTCTATGGGGAACGTCTGGGGAGTGAGAGGGGACGGATGAACGGGGATGAGGAGGGAAGCAGATGGGTGCGAGGGTTAGAGGGACGAGAAGAACCCAAAAATGAAAACAAGCCGAGGATCATGCACAGATGACCACGATACATAAGGCACCCTAATGAAAGAATGCAGGTATGCTGTGCAGATGAGCCCAGCACGTGAGGTAAAACAAGGTGAGGTGAGGTGAGGTGCGGTGAGGAGCAGTGGTGACACGCACCTCGGCATCGTCGGGGTCGAGCCACCACATGGGGCGGCACACGGGGGCGAGGGCCTTGGAGCATGCATCCTCCATGAGGCTGAATATGGTGCCCGCTAGCTTCTCCCTTAGCTGCGTAGGATGCGCGGCAGGGTTTGTAGGAGAGGGGAGCGAGTTAGTCTACAGCCTCCAAAGAATTTATTCATAATAAGGAATATCATTCGAGCATGCCTCTTCTCTCCGCATTCCCATCACCCCTATGCTCACCTCGAGAACAGCCTTGCAGAGGCGGTCGGCCTCCTTGCTGAGGTCCCAGGGGGCGATGGAGAACTGCACGGCCGGCATGAGCGCGTTGGCCTGCGCCCACCGCACCAGCAGCTCCACGTCCGGCTTGTTGCCAAAGTACGCGTTGCCCCCTACCATGTCGGGTAAACAGAATGGGTACCCCAGAATCCCTGACGTCAGCAGCGTGGGAATCACGCTCCTCAGCCCGTTCCCTGTACTCCACGTGGAAAACCGATCGCCCATTCTCGTCAGCAGCGGCACGCTGCTGGTCTTGTGCCCCGTGCGCACCTCCGCGTAACTAAATTGAGATGCCACCTCTTGCACGTAGAGCCGCGTGTATTCCACAGGGGTGACGATGGGCTTGTGCGTGACGAAGTGCGGGGGCAGGAAGCAGGGCTCCCCCGCGTCAAACTTAAAGCCGTCGATGAGGTAGTCGGCCTGCAGGCGCTTGAGGCGCCCCACGAACCAGGCCACGGCCTCGGGGTTGGTCACGTCGAGGGCCGCTGCTGGCACGGGCTGCCACCACTTGAAGAAGCCCGGCTTGAGCCCCTTGGTGGCCGGTGCACTGGATGAAATGAAGTAGCCTCTGGTGAATGAGGGAAGGGAGAGGGAGGGGTGGAAGAGACCATTCGGAACAACAGCAATAAATGTGTGAGGGTAATTCGGGACAACAGCAATAATTCTCATGCGTAGAGTACGTATAGAGTTTGAAGTCAAACATATGCAAGGGACTGCAAGCCGTGAATTCTTCTAGAGCCCAGGCACTGGCACTCACTTGGGCGCGCCTTCCTGGTAGGCAGCGGAAGCTTCCTCCACGAAGGGCATGATCCAGAGCGTGACCTTAAAGCCCAGCGCGTGCAACATCTCCACCATGGCCTGCGGGGGGAAAGGAGAGAGGTGAGGGGCAGCAGAGAGAACACAACGGAGCGAGGTGAGGAGGTGATGAGGGGGGATGGAGAGGCGCTTAGGCATGATGATCAGGTCTCATGAGAAGCTGTCGAACGTGGGTGGGATGCACGAAGAGCAAAGCAGGCAAGCAGCACACACGGTGGTGCTTTGCTCACCTTGGGGTTGGGGAACTTGACGGGGTCGAAGTCAAAGTCCCCATACTTGGTCTGCCACTTGTCGTCAATCTCCATGACGGACCGTGACAGCCCGCGCCCCACGATCTCATGCGCAAACTGCTCCACCTTGGCCTGCGTCACCTTGGCGTGGTACCGCGCCCACGTCGTCCAGATCGGCGCGTCCACCATCTCCCGCGGAGGGGGGTTGGCGGGGCGCGGGAGAGTTTCCAGGGCGGCCTCTGCAGCCTCCTTCACGTTGGCTGTGGCGCACAGAGCGAACTGCAGGCAGAGGCGCTGGTCTGAACGGTGGGGGGGGAGTGAGGGATCAGTGGGTGAGAGAGAGGAGGAATGAGAGGGTGAGAGGGTGAGAGGTAGGGGGATGAGAGGGTGAGAGGGTGAGAGGTAGGGGGATGACAGTGCAGTTTTCCCTGACCAGATCTGCACAGCACTGCCCAGCTTTACCCAAAAAGGCCCAGATTTCCCTGAAGCGATCTTACCCACCCAGCTCACCTTTGTCCTGCTCCTCCTTCCAGGGCGCGGGCATCCAGTCGCGCAGTGGGTGCAGCATCTCGACTGTGCGGTAGCTGGCGCGCGCCTGCAGGCGCAGCATGCCGTCCCCAGTACCGTTCTCCACCGCTGGCAGCGACTCGCGCGCCAGGTTCTGCACGCCCGTGCCCCAGGAGCGCTGGATCCAGCCGTCGTGGGGGCCCACGTGGGGCGCGTTCAGCCCCACGTGCAGGAAGGGCGTGTCGGGATTGGCCAGCACGAGCAGCCCGCGCGAGGTCATCCACTGCGGGGCGAGCAGCGTGTTGGTGCCATTTGGGCCGTTGTCAAACGGGAAGAAGGGGCCCATCTGGATGGAGAGGGGGAACAGCAGGAGGAAGAGCAGGATGGGGAAGAGCAGCAGGCGGTGAGTATCTAACTTGCGTGAGCGAGTTTCGATTCGTTTGGATCTTCTGATGTAAGCTGCGATTCCTCGCACACAGCAACCTACTGCTTGCTCCACGACCACGAGTCCGTGTGTCAGTGCAACACCGCGCTACTCCCCCCCCAACTGGCGTACCTCGAACTGGCCGCGGTTGAGGGGCCAATGCTGGCGCATGTAGTGCCCGCCGCCGAACCAGTACCCCGCGGCGCGCATGTCCAGCTCCACCTCCGCCATTCCGCGCGCCTCCTGCTCCGCGTGCTGCGCCACGCTGAACTCACACACGAACCCACAAGCCAGTTTCTGTTGTGGGGGATGCGCGCATGGGGGAGTGCACAGGGAGGGAGAGTTAGAACAGGGAGGGGCACGCTGAACTCAGCACGAATCCGCAAGCCAGGAGGCTCGATATGACTTGGTAGGTAAGATTCTTACGACAGCCCAACAGGAGATAGGAAAAGGAGGAGGGTCGCGTTGTCTCACGAGGTAAGGTGCTCACCTTGGCCCAGGAGGGGTCGGAGGCGGGGTTGCCGTGGTCGCGGTCGAATGGCAGCGCCGACAGATCGCCCTTCTCCACGCCCGCGGGGCTCGCCGCCACCACGCGCAGCGCAGAGCCGTTGATCCACTTCAGCTGGACGGCGCCGATCGACTCGTCCAGCACGGTGATCTCGCACGACTCGATATAGTCATGGCAGGTGTCAGGGAGGGAGACTCTCCCCGCGGTGATGAGCACAGGCACGCCGTCCTTCACGCGCCGCAGCTCCATCATGCCGTCCGCGTGCAGTCTCAGATGCTCCGCTCCGTTAAAGATGTCCGCGCGGCCCGGATGCACTTTAACGCGTACACGGTCGTCCAGACCGGACAGGCTGCTGGTGCTGCTCACGCGGCTGAACCCTCCCTCGCTGCTCACATCGTCGCCGCTGCTGCTGATGCTGCTGCTGAGACTCACTGCGTCGTACAGCCGCTCCTCCTCTTCCTCATCCTCCTCATCTTCTGTAAAGTACAGTGCGTTGTCAGCACCGCCAACAACGCCGCCAGGAGCGGGGAAAAGCAGGGAGGGGGAGGAGAGCACGTTGATATCAGCGTCGGGAGTCAGTAAACCACCTAGTGAGCTAGCTAGGCCCCAAAGCCCGCCGTTGGTGTTGCTGCTGCTGCCTTGGGGCTTATCGGTCGGTACTGCCACGGCTTTCAAAGGCTTACCGGTTCCGCACACGTTGCACGGCCCGCGCTTGGCCGACCTCCGCCTGACCGAGCCGTTGACCGATCCGTTGGGACCGTTTGAGCCTTCATGATGACGCCGTCCAGCTGGCAGCAGGCCCGCCACGTGGCAGTCGCATTCGAGGACGGCGACGGATTGTTTGCTGGTAACGGGTTTGTCTTCTAGCGAGGTAGAAGCTGTAGCGTCGGCGAGTATAGTGTATATCGGGTACGGAGGCGGCTTCCGTTGCGTCCTGCCGCCGTAGTATTGCTTCAGGGCTGGTCCAAAGATCAGTCTCTTGGACGGGCGGCAAGTGAGCGAGTTGCGTGAGGCGAGAGTCGACGGCTGATTGGACGCGAGCCGAAGCGTGCATCTGGGATGGCATGTCACGGACGCACACGCTGACGTCATCCGTCCCGGGCCGGGTTTGCTTGTGCAGTTGACGCAGGCCCGTGTGAGGTTGGAAGCGCCGGGAGCGCGAATGGCGGCCGATATCGCCATGGCGGATCCGAGAGAGGGAGCTGAACAGGAGATCTGCGAAGACGTGGCAGAGAGTATAGGTGCTGCTAAGCAATCTAAGGATAACAAAGAGCTAGCAATATACAAAAAGTCCGTGTCCTCGTGAGTAGGACGACGGTCTATAGCTGATTCTCGACTTGGCGCCAGATTGAAACACGAAAGGTTATGATCACTGAGTGCGCGAGAATGAATTTGTCATTGGTTAACGTGGATAGAACGGAAAACACGGGAACAGAAGCCATGATCACATGAATTTATGAGCAAAACTGATCGATCAATGGTTGTTGAATGCCGTGCAAGTGCAAGTGCCGATTCGAGAAGTATCAGTGAGTAAGTATTGGTCGTGGAGTTGTTTCTTACGAATTCTTATCTGAGGCCGAGAATCAACGAAGGAGCGGTCCGTGGCGGCTCGCCAGCGCGTCAGTGGAAGCTGCGAATGATGGGAGAACCATTCAAGCCGCCACAGGCACACGCCGAGTCCGTCACAACCACTCCTGGAGAAAAAGTGTTCATCAGCTGGTGGCCATTTGACATCAGCTCGACCTCTTATGCCATCAGCTCGCTCAAGTTTTGAGTCATGGCGAGCGAGGCAGGGAGGTGAGGAGGAGGAAACGGTGGAGTCGAGTGAAGACAAGCGACAGCGACGAGTCCAGTGGAGTCCCCGAAGGCGTGGAGGGATGTGAGGGATGAGAGGGAGTCGGATGGAATGGAATGGAATTCCCGAAGGCTATCCGCCTGACCGCCGATAGCATCGATGCTGACGTACAGCCGCGTCATGCCTCGATATCGCCACCTCAATTGCTCCGGCACCTCGAAAGCTCCAGCGTGCCTACACTGGTGGACGTGGCGTAAAGCGTTGTGAGGATGAGGGTGAGCTGGCGCGGTCTGGTTTTCGGTCGCCTTGGGTTGGGTTGGTTGGTGTACACATGATGCCCAACCCCTGCACGCGAAATTGCCTTTCATATTCCAGAAACCTCGCACGCTTGGGTTTTTTTCCGGGCAGTTGCACCCACGTTACAAGCACGTCAACCAATACGAACCACAGAAACTGAAGTTTGACCGAAGTCAAACAGTCAACAGTGAGTTACAAAATTTTGTTATAAGCCCTTTTTGCCCGACGCGAATTGACGAAACCTCCACGAAATGCAAGAATCGCTTATAAGCCCAGAGGGTAGGGCAAGGTTGGGGGGCTCAACCGGGCATCGTGTGTAGTCGAGCGGAATTGGGGATAGGGACACATGATCTCGAAAACGTGCAAGGACTGGTTCTCCTGAATGTCTGTGGTGGTGGTGGAGTGATCGATTTGCGGTTGGCCAATCAGGATCTCCAATTGGACCGCACTGAAATTCCCTGGCCCGAATCAAAACGTCGGAAATTGAGAGGGGTGATCGAACCGCGTTTTCAGATACCAGCCAAATCCAAAAGGTCATCCACATGTCCACTTTCGATACGTGTACATCTCGAAATTGAAGTCGCGGTGAACGACGCAAGTCAGCGTTATGGGAGTGATGCTCCACTCCAGCGTGTATCAGTTGTGCTGGCAGCTGACACAACTCAACTGGATTGCAGGGAAACCCATCACCGCCTAAAATATCTGTCAAGCTGGACACCACTCCACACCACCACAACTCTCCCGCACCACTGCCGTATGATTCAGTGCTAGAGCAATCCTGGTGTTGTGCGGTTTGAAGGTATAACTTATAGAAAATTTACCTTCAGTGCATGATTCTTCTATTGGGAAACACCTCACGCATATAGCTGCAAAAATGTCACCACACTCACTCACTCACACGAGAAAAAGGAATTTCTCCTCTGACCTAGTATCGTACTGCCACTTTACAAGGCAGGTGCCTGCTAAGGTCTCTTCAAGCCAAGTCAAGCTACACGCACTACACAACAAACATTAGAAAGGCCAGGGAAGCAAGAAACTGGCTCTGACTCCCTAGGCGTTGTCAACAGGCGATGTGGGGGTGCTGGTGGCGGTGCTGGGGGTGGGCTTGGGGGGTGAGGGTGGTGCAGCTGCTGCCTCAACCGCTGCTGGGGTGGAAGGGGAGGCTGATGACTCAACAGCTGACTCTGCAGTGGCAGCAAGGTCAGCAGTGGCAACAGGGGCAGCAGGGGCAGCCACATCAGAGGAGGGTGCGCTGCTCTCTGTAGGCATTTCCGTTGCCGCCACACTTGTAGCCTCATCACGGCTTGCCTCACTCGTTTCTGCAACTTCTGCTCTCACTGCTGCTGCTGCTGCTGCTGCTGCAGGCGCTTCTGCTGCCGACACTGCTGATGATGGTTCCACTGCTGTTGCCTCTGCTGCTTCTGATGTCTCTGATGCTGCTGCTGGTGCATCTGCTGGTGCATCTGCGGCAACAGCGAGACTACCATTGTCAGTCTGAACCGTCACATCAGCAGCTGAGGTGGCAGCAGCAGCAGGCGCACTGGAAGCCTCTGGGGCCTTGCTCTCACTCCCCCCCTCCCTCTCGCTCCCCCCCTCACCCTCCCCATCTGTGAGCTGCTTGACTGCCTTGGGTGCTGCAGAGGCAGAAGAGGAGGTGCCAAGGGCCCACCCTGCTGCCGATGCTGCTAGCGAGAAGGGCGTCAGCAGAGCTCTGCGAGGCATGCAGGGACGGAAGAGGGGCGAAGAGGGGAGGGTGGGGTGAGAGACGAGCGGTGGGAATGCTCAAGTGACAAGGCATGCGTGGCTTAGATCAGAACAGCACGCGAATTGAACTAAAAGGGCGACTCTGGCAATGTTGGCAAGTTTGGAAGGATGGGATGGGGATGGGGATGGGGATAAGAATGTTCAAGGTCATGCTGTTGACAAGGGACTTGATCTCTGCACACTTTAGGCAGGTGCGCGTGGCAGCTACAGTGATCTTTTTGTCAACTAATGAATAATCTTGGTGTTCCTCTGCACACCCTCCTCTGCCTTACGCGCCCTCCTCTGCCTTACGCGCCCTCCTCTCCCTTACGCGCCCTCCTCTGCCTTACGCGCCCTCCTCTGCCTTACGCGCCCTCCTCTGCCTTACGCGCCCTCCTCTGCCTTACGCGCCCTCCTCTGCCTTACGCGCCCTCCTCTGCCTTACGCGCCCTCCTCTGCCTTACTCGCCCTCCTCTGCCTTACGCGCCCTCCTCTGCCTTACGCGCCCTCTTCTGGCTTGCCCCACTCACTCACCACACGTCCCCTCCACACACACTCACCACACGTCCCCTCCACACACACTCACCACACGTCCCCTCCACACACACTCACCACACGTCCCCTCCACACACACTCACCACACGTCCCCTCCACACTCACTCACCACACGTCCCCTTCCCCTCACTCGTTGCACATTCCCCCCCTTCACTCACCGCACGTCCCTCCGAAGGTCCTCCTCAGTCTCATACGTCTAGACGTGTATGTAGATCAACTGCAGCACTGCCAGGCCGTCCACACGCAGCACTCATTCCCCAACACACACATGCTCATACCCTATTAACTCCACTCACCGCACGTCCGAATTGACTTTTGAGTCGACTCAAAAGTCAACTCACCACTGCCAGGCCGCCAAAACGCAGCACTCATTCCCCAACACACACAATCATTCCCCAACACACACAATCATTCCCCATCCGCTCAACTCACCGCACGTCCCGCTGAAGGTCCTCCTCGGTCTCGTATGTCTTGACGCGCATGTAGATCAGCTGAACCACTGCCAGCACTCCCAACAGCTGCAGCCCTGCCATCACACCCAGCACATGCATTCCCCTCACACTCCCTCACTGCACATCCCCCCCATTTCAATCACCGCACACCCCTCCCCCCTCCACTCACCGCACGTCCCGCTGAAGGTCCTCCTCGGTCTCGTATGTCTTGACGCGCATGTAGATCAGCTGAACCACTGCGAGCACTCCCAACAGCTGCAGTGACCGCTCCCACTCTGTTAGGGGTGCAGTGCGGTTCAAAGAAAGGGACATGGTTGCAAGGGGGGTTGGGGAGGTAGACAGAGGGGTGGAGAGGGGAGTGGTGAAGAAAACGATGAAAGGAGGAAGTGTGAAAAGCAACTAACAAACGGAATTAACAGAATAGAAATTAACCGAATTTATACTGTGCACGAAGAGTCCTCATGTCAATATGTCGTGCTGTGGAAGGGATGCAGCAGCAGGGCATCATGTCATGCGGAGCGGAGGATACACCATGCAAAGCAATACATCATGCATAGTCGTACCGATGAGGGCGAAAATGCCGACTCCCGTGCCCTGCAGGAAGAGGAAGGAAGGGTGGGGATGGAGGGAGAGAACAATGAGAGAGGCAATTAATGGTGTGTTGGTGCATGGTGCAGGCTGAATGGTGCATGGTGCATGCTGAATGGTGCATGGTGCATGGTGCATGGTGCATGGTGCATGGTGCATGCTGAATGGTGCATGGTGCATGGTGCATGCTGAATGGTGACATGAGGCATTATCCACGTCATCCCTAGGCCAGCCTCCTATCATCACCACCAGCATCATGCACAGTCACACGAATGAGCATAACTGTGCATTTCAGCATCCACATGGCAATACATGATACGCAGAAGATACTAGCAGTGGCGAATGATCCAGAAGGAGAGGGGAGAAGAGGGGAAGGGAAGGGGAGGGGAGGGGAGGGGAGGGGAGGGGAGGGGAGACTCACGAGCACCACGGTGGCCACTCCTAGGGGCGTGGGCTGCACGTCCTCCACAAACGCCTCGTACTCCTGCCAGGGTGCCACGTGGCAATACATCACAGAACAGAGTGCCACGTGGCAGAGCAGAGCAGCACACAACAGGTTGAAATATGTCAGGGTGATGCACTTGGGATGCTGAAAACAGCAGAGACGAAACAACGGGTGTGAGAGATCTCAAACACAAGGAGATGGAGCAAACCATGGTAGCATAATTGCAAGACCCAATCGGCTCGACTCTACCAAGCAGCACAATCGGCTCGACTCTACCAAGCAGCGCAATCGGCTCGACTCTACCAAGCAGCGCAATCTCCTCCTTTGCTTCTAGACGGACTAATCTGTCAGGCTGTGTCCCATCCCATTCATGTTCCAAAAGAGGCCACACCCCACCCCTGCTGTGGCATCCTGGCCCATTTCCCCTGCGCTGTGCACGGTGCGTGCACGGTCTCCGAATCATGAGAATCACAATGCAATGTCACATGCATTCATGTGAGGGAGAGAGGGACGGGGGGAGGGAGGGAGGGGGGGATGGAGGGAGGGAGGGAGGGAGGGAGGGAGGGAGGGAGGGAGGGAGGGAGGGAGAGGGGGAGGAAGGGAGGGAGGGAGAGTGGGAGGGAGAGGGGGGGGGGGAAGAGGGGAAGATCGCTCACCTTCTTGAGGACGTCAGCTGCGCGCTCGGGCTCGTTGGGCTTGACTCGCAGCCCACTGGCCATCCACGCGTCAAATCCCCCATCCATCACGTACGAGCGCTGTGCCGTTGCACATCACATGTCACACACACATACGTGCACACACAGAGAGGCACAGAGGCACACAGACACAGGCACACAGACACAGGCACACAGACACAGGCAGAACCATGAGGGGCTGGCTTGCGAAACCGCTTCCGAGGCACCTCGAAACAAGAAACAATTTCCGAGGTGTCTTAAAAGTGAAAGCACACACACATGCACAAACATGCACAAACATGTACAAACATGCACAAACATGTACAAACATGCACAAACATGTACAAACATGCACAAACATGTACAAACATGCACAAACATGTACAAACATGTACAAACATGCACAAACATGTACAAACATGTACAAACATGCACAAACATGCACAAACATGTACAAACATGTACAAACATGTACAAACATGCACAAACATGTACAAACATGCACAAACATGTACAAACATGCACAAACATGTACAAACATGTACAAACATGCACAAACATGTACAAACATGCACAAACATGTACAAACATGCACAAACATGTACAAACATGCACAAACATGTACAAACATGCACAAACATGCACAAACATGTACAAACATGTACAAACATGTACAAACATGCACAAACATGTACAAACATGTACAAACATGCACAAACATGCACAAACATGTACAAACATGTACAAACATGTACAAACATGCACAAACATGTACAAACATGCACAAACATGTACAAACATGTACAAACATGTACAAACATGTACAAACATGCACAAACATGTACAAACATGCACAAACATGTACAAACATGCACAAACATGTACAAACATGCACAAACATGTACAAACATGCACAAACATGTACAAACATGTACAAACATGCACAAACATGTACAAACATGTACAAACATGTACAAACATGTACAAACATGCACAAACATGCACAAACATGTACAAACATGCACAAACATGTACAAACATGCACAAACATGTACAAACATGCACAAACATGTACAAACATGCACAAACATGTACAAACATGCACAAACATGCACAAACATGTACAAACATGTACAAACATGCACAAACATGTACAAACATGCACAAACATGCACAAACATGTACAAACATGCACAAACATGTACAAACATGCACAAACATGTACAAACATGCACAAACATGTACAAACATGCACAAACATGTACAAACATGCACAAACATGTACAAACATGCACAAACATGTACAAACATGCACAAACATGTACAAACATGCACAAACATGCACAAACATGTACAAACATGCACAAACATGTACAAACATGCACAAACATGTACAAACATGCACAAACATGCACAAACATGTACAAACATGTACAAACATGCACAAACATGTACAAACATGCACAAACATGTACAAACATGTACAAACATGCACAAACATGTACAAACATGCACAAACATGTACAAACATGCACAAACATGTACAAACATGTACAAACATGCACAAACATGTACAAACATGTACAAACATGCACAAACATGTACAAACATGTACAAACATGCACAAACATGTACAAACATGCACAAACATGTACAAACATGCACAAACATGTACAAACATGTACAAACATGCACAAACATGCACAAACATGTACAAACATGTACAAACATGTACAAACATGCACAAACATGTACAAACATGTACAAACATGCACAAACATGTACAAACAGAAGTGAAAGCACACACACATGTACAAACAGCCTGGCACAACCATAAGCGGCTGGTCGTGAAACCCAGTGCTCGGTCAGAAGCTTAAAGCCCACTCTGGAGAGATTTTCTCTCAGGCGCCTAGAAATGAGGTTCAGTGTTCACCACCCTGCAAAACTGTATCTTAAAGCCCACTCCGATGAGGCTAATCCTTGCCAGTACCCTGCCAGCCCCGTCAGTACCTTAAAGCCCACTCTGGAGAGGCCCCTAGCAATCTCCTTTGCAAGGTTGCTGCCGCTCTCGTCCATTATAATCACCTGCGTGTCCTTCTGCTTACAGTCACACCCAATACAAGCACATGGACGTGGAGAAACGGGGAGCAGGAGGAGGGGGGAAATGCATTAGAAAGGACGGAGAGATTCGTACAGTTCGCTGTCACCTATGTGTTATCTGTTGCATAGCTGTCACCTACGTGATGTTGTCTGCTTGACTTGGACAACCGTTCGACTCGGAACCACGGAGAGGGTGAGCATTCCTCTTGGTTGGGAAATGGTTCATCATTTCAACATCTGACAGCATTCGTTTTTCCACAATCTGCCAAGTTGCACAGCAGACCCGCTTTCATTAAAGGCCACGCTGCTGCTCCCGTCCGTTGGCCCCCGTCACGAGATGTGCTTGTAAGGGGCGGGGGGAGCTCACCTGCACGCCCCTGACGCCCTTGATCTTGGCGGCCATGAGCTGCAGGTCCACCACGTCTGGGCTGCGCACCTGCCCCCTCAGAGGCCCGCCCAGCTGCAGGGGGAGGGGGGAGAGGGGGGAATTGGAGGGGACGGGGAGAGGGTTGGTTTGATTGGGTTGCGAGCTGACTCAAAACAGATCCACCTCGTCCGGGCGGCGCGCCTGTCCCCTCAGAGGCCCGCCAAGCTGCAAGGGAGAACAACGCGGAGGAAAAAAGAGGGGATGACAGCGCGGCGTGTGGTGTGGGCATGAAAGGCAGATGTAGGCATGAAAGGCAGTAGGATCGGGCCTCAGGGCGAGAGGTGATCCTCCACTGCCCGGCTGCGCACCTGCCCCCTCAAGGGCCCGCCCAGCTGCAGGGGGGGATGGGGAAAGGGATGAGGGCATGCACGCATGACACTTCACACAGGATTGGGCATCACAAGTCCACAAAGCCTGGGTTGTTCACCTGCCCCCTCGGGTGGTCGCCGAAGCTGTTGTAGTGGGAGGAAACAGAAGGAATCGGGGCGTGTGGGCATGGGGAGGTGCCACGTGAAAAAAAGGGTGGTTTTGAGACGTGTCAGAAACACCCCCTTCTTTCACGTGTCAGAAACACCCCCTTCTTTCACGTGTCAGAAACACCCCCTTCTTTCACGTGTCGGAAACACCCCCTTCTTTCACGTGGCTGCGCATCTGCCCCCTCAGGAGGTCGCCCAAGGCGCGCAGGTGCACGCCCTGATTCCTTCTGTTGCCCCCTCAGGAGGTCGCCCAAGATGTAGCGGGGAAGAAGAGAAGGAATCAGGGCGTGTGGGCATGGGGGACTGTTGCTTTTCTCTTCACTGAGTGTGTGTGTGTGTGTGTGTGTGTGTGTGTGTGTGTGTGTGTGTGTGTTGTGTGTGTGTGTGTGTGTGTGTGTGTGTGGGCGTTTTTGTGTGTGTATGGCATGTGAACATAGTCACGCATGTGTGCCCCACCTGGTGAACTCTTTCAGTGTGTGCAACAACACGGCGTCCAGAACGCTGTCGCACGCACCAACGAAACTGCCTTCACTGTGCCCTCAGCATCGCAGCAGCACCACCACCAGGGTAAGAAGCGAAGCACACCACACCACACGACACACACAACCAGTCCCGTGACATCTGGCGGCAGCAGGGCTTGTGGCAAACCATGCAGCCCAATAACATCGACCAGAGCGAGAGGCGCACCTTCTCAAACTTGACGCTGCAGTCCTTGAAACGCGCCCCCCTGCGCAGGTCAGGAATGCCGTTCTCGTCCCTCAGGTACTGCGGCACGGGGAGAGGGGAGGGAGAGCAGATGCGGGAGGTGAGGCGTAGGGGAGAGAGGATTTGGAGTCGTCTCAACAGTGCTTGAAGCCAGCGCGCCCCCCTGGGCAGGTCCGGAATGCGGTTCTCGTCCCTCAGGAACTGAGGACGCCGGGATAGGAGGGGGAGGTTAGGCATGGGGTGCAGTGCCGACCGGGGAGGTGAGGTTGGGCATGGGGCGCAGTGCCAATCGGGGAGGGGGAGGTGAGGTGAGGTGAGGTGAGGCTAGGGTGAGGAGGTTCAAGAACGGGAACACCAAGACACGAGGGCATAGGGCGTGCGGCATGGGGAGCACGTGGCATGTGACATGGCATGAGGCGCATGGGGCGTGGGGCATGGATGGGGTATGCGGGATGGGGTATGGGGCATGGGGTATGGGATATGGAGGAGCATGCGGGATGGGGTATGCAAGGGGCATGGGGAATGGGGTATGCATGGGACATGGGCCATGGATAGGGAGGCGTGAGGCATGGGGCATGGGGTGTGCATGGGGCGTGGGGCCTTGGGGTATGCATGGGACATGGGGCATGGGGTATGCATGGGACATGGGGCATGGGGTATGCATGGGACATGGGGCATGGGGTATGCATGGGACATGGGGCATGGGGTATGCATGGGACATGGGGCATGGGGTATGCATGGGACATGGGGCATGGGGTATGCATGGGACATGGGGCACGGGGCATGCGTCTGACCTCAGGGCGGATGTCAACGAGCACGGCCTTGCTCTCCTTGAGCACCGCCAGTGCCTCCTCTGCTGACAGATTGCCCGAATACCCGCCGTACGCCGCCCTCCAATACGCCACTCTGCCCAAGTGGGAGGGACGGGTGGAGGGAGGGGTGCGGGGAGGGGTGGGAGAAAGGGGTCGGGTTGCAATGAGTGGCTGGTCTGCCCACAGGTTGCCCCAGTACCCGCCATATGCCTCCACTTTTGAGAGTTCTCAAAAGTCATATGCATCCAGCCCATACGCCTTTCTGATAGGTGACGGGCGGTGGGAAGGGTTGGAGGCGCGAGGTGACTTTTGAGTCGACTCAAAAGCCCCCTCCCATACGCCGTTTGGTTGTTTGGGGGGCGGTGGGAAGGATGGGAGGCGCGAGGGGTGAGGGTAGCAATGGGGAGGCAGCAGAGGCCAGGCGATAGGGGCGGATGAAAGGGGAGAGAAAAGAGGAAATGTAACAGGAAGGAACTGGGCAGGGGAGGAGGACCGGCGAAGGTTAGACAAGTAAGAAACGGGGAGCAAAGTAGCACTAGGGACAATATCAGAAGTGGCACAACACAGTGCTGCCCAGCACAGCGCAGCACCGCATCACACCACAAAGCACCCCACAGTGCTCTTACCCGAGCAGCAGCGTGGCGGTGGCGATGAGCGTGGCGGCCACGACAGTGTCGTCCGCATCAAAGCCCGCCGCCCCAAACGCCGCCTTCACCGCTGCTGCTGATAGCACCGCCACCTGGCGGAGAAGCGAAATGGAGGGGAGAAAGGTGGGGAGACGAAGGAAGGGTGGGAAGAGAGAGGAGGAAGGGGAAGAGGAAGGGAGAGAGGAAGCAAAGGGAAGGATGGCTGAGTGGAGCGGGTGGGAGGGGGAGGATGGGAGTGGAAGGATGGGAGGGGGAGGATGGGAGGGGGAGGATGGGAGTGGGAGGATGGGAGTGGGAGGATGGGAGTGGGAGGATGGGAGTGGGAGGATGGGAGGGGGAGGATGGGAGTGGGAGGATGGGAGTGGGAGGATGGGAGTGGGAGGATGGGAGTGGGAGGATGGGAGTGGGAGGATGGGAGGGGGAGGATGGGAGGGGGAGGATGGGAGTGGGAGGATGGGAGGGGGAGGATGGGAGGGGGAGGATGGGAGTGGGAGGATGGGAGTGGGAGGATGGGAGTGGGAGGATGGGAGTGGGAGGATGGGAGGGGAGGATGGGAGGGGGAGGATGGGAGGGGAGGATGGGAGTGGGAGGATGGGAGTGGGAGGATGGGAGGGGAGGATGGGAGTGGGAGGATGGGAGTGGGAGGATGGGAGGGGGAGGATGGGAGTGGGAGGATGGGAGTGGGAGGATGGGAGTGGGAGGATGGGAGTGGGAGGATGGGAGTGGGAGGATGGGAGGGGGAGGATGGGAGGGGAGGATGGGAGTGGGAGGATGGGAGTGGGAGGATGGGAGTGGGAGGATGGGAGTGGGAGGATGGGAGTGGGAGGATGGGAGGGGGAGGATGGGAGTGGGAGGATGGGAGGGGGAGGATGGGAGGGGGAGGATGGGAGTGGGAGGATCGGAGTGGGAGGATGGGAGTGGGAGGATGGGAGTGGGAGGATGGGAGTGGGAGGATGGGAGGGGGAGGATGGGAGTGGGAGGATGGGAGTGGGAGGATGGGAGTGGGAGGATGGGAGGGGGAGGATGGGAGGGGGAGGATGGGAGGGGGAGGATGGGAGGGGGAGGATGGGAGGGGGAGGATGGGAGGGGTAGGATGGGAGTGGGAGGATGGGAGGGGGAGGATGGGAGTGGGAGGATGGGAGGGGGAGGATGGGAGGGGGAGGATGGGAGTGGGAGGATGGGAGTGGGAGGATGGGAGTGGGAGGATGGGAGTGGGAGGATGGGAGTGGGAGGATGGGAGTGGGAGGATGGGAGTGGGAGGATGGGAGTGGGAGGATGGGAGTGGGAGGATGGGAGTGGGAGGATGGGAGTGGGAGGATGGGAGGGGGAGGATGGGAGTGGGAGGATGGGAGTGGGAGGATGGGAGTGGGAGGATGGGAGTGGGAGGATGGGAGTGGGAGGATGGGAGTGGGAGGATGGGAGTGGGAGGATGGGAGGGGGAGGATGGGAGGGGGAGGATGGGAGGGGGAGGATGGGAGGGGGAGGATGGGAGGGGGAGGATGGGAGGGGGAGGATGGGAGGGGTAGGATGGGAGTGGGAGGATGGGAGTGGGAGGATGGGAGTGGGAGGATGGGAGTGGGAGGATGGGAGTGGGAGGATGGGAGGGGGAGGATGGGAGTGGAGGATGGGAGTGGGAGGATGGGAGTGGGGATGGGAGTGGGAGTGGGAGGATGGGAGTGGGAGGATGGGAGTGGGAGGATGGGAGTGGGAGGATGGGAGGGGGAGGATGGGAGGGGGAGGATGGGAGGGGGAGGATGGGAGGGGGAGGATGGGAGGGGGAGGATGGGAGGGGGAGGATGGGAGTGGGAGGATGGGAGTGGGAGGATGGGAGTGGGAGGATGGGAGTGGGAGGATGGGAGTGGGAGGATGGGAGTGGGAGGATGGGAGTGGGAGGATGGGAGTGGGAGGATGGGAGTGGGAGGATGGGAGTGGGGAGGATGGGAGTGGGAGGATGGGAGTGGGAGGATGGGAGGGGGAGGATGGGAGGGGGAGGATGGGAGGGGGAGGATGGGAGTGGGAGGATGGGAGTGGGAGGATGGGAGTGGGAGGATGGGAGTGGGAGGATGGGAGTGGGAGGATGGGAGTGGGAGGATGGGAGTGGGAGGATGGGAGTGGGAGGATGGGAGTGGGAGGATGGGAGTGGGAGGATGGGAGTGGGAGGATGGGAGTGGGAGGATGGGAGGGGAGGATGGGAGTGGGAGGATGGGAGTGGGAGGATGGGAGTGGGAGGATGGGAGTGGGAGGATGGGAGTGGGAGGATGGGAGTGGGAGGATGGGAGTGGGAGGATGGGAGTGGGAGGATGGGAGGGGGAGGATGGGAGTGGGAGGATGGGAGTGGGAGGATGGGAGGGGGAGGATGGGAGTGGGAGGATGGGAGTGGGAGGATGGGAGTGGGAGGATGGGAGTGGGAGGATGGGAGTGGGAGGATGGGAGTGGGAGGAGTGAATGATGGAGCGAGCCTGCACGCCTCGTCCCTCACCTGCACGCCTCGTCCCTCACCTGCACGCCTCGTCCCTCACCTGCGCGCCTCGTCCCTCACCTGCACGCCTCGTCCCTCACTTGCACCTGCACGCCTCGCACCCGCCACTGTCTGGACTAGAGCAGCCTCGTATCTCAACTGCACTTGACCCGCCTCAAAAGCTGACCGCTCTTGTCACTCGCGCGCGTGACCCCCTGAGCTACACCCGCCACAACCGTCACCTGCTCGCCGTCTTACCTGCACGGCGACTTCCTTGGTGAGTCCACTGGCGGCGTCCCACAGCGACGCCAGGTTGACCTCCACCTTCTCCACCAGCGGCAGCGTTGGCAGAAGGCCATTCGACCACCCGTGCCACTCGCGCGCGCCACTCGACCCGCTCATCTACTCCCGCCACTACTCTCACCCGCACACCTCGTCTCTCACCCCCTGAACTGGAATCCCACTACTCTCACTCACCTGCACCGCCACCTCCTTGGTCAGTCCGCTGGCGGCGTCGCACAGCGAAGCCAGGTTGGCCTCCACCTTCTCCAACAGCGGCGGAGGCAGCGGCAGGGCGCCACTCGACCACCCTTGCCACGCGCGCTCGCCACGTCACCCACTACAGCCGCTACTACCCTCACCTGCACGGCCACCTCCTTGGTGAGCCCGCTAGCAGCGTCCCGCAGCGAAGCCAGGTTCGCCTCCACCTTCTCCAACAGCGGCAGCGGCGGCAGGACCCCACTTGACCCCTAATTTTCGCCTTCCCCTGCTCGCAGTCTCACCTGCACGGCCACCTCCTTGGTGAGTCCGCTAGCGGCGTCCCACAGCGAAGCCAAGTTCGCCTCCACCTTCTCCACCAGCGGCAGCGCGTCCGCCGGCACGCTCTCGCGCAGCGCCGAGTACGCCGCCAGGTACTCGCGCTGCGCCACCGCCGCCGCCGCCGCCGCCGCCGCCACCGACGCGGACGCCGCCGCCACCGCGTTCTCCACAGGCTCGGAGATCGCCCGAGGCACGGTTAGCTTCGGCACGGGGAGGCTCGATGGGGAGGGGAGGCTCGGGATGGGGATGGATGGCAGCGGGATCTCGGGCAGGTTGAACTCTGGGGTGGGGATGTCGGGCAGCTTGAAGTCGGTTTTAGGGAGAGGAAGCTCGGACGAGTCGGGCAGCTTGAAATCTGGCTTGGCGAATTCGGGCAGGGAGAAGGAAGGCGCCTTCAGATCTGAGAGGCTTTCGGGTAGCGAGAACTCAGGCTTTTTGAACTCGGGCAGTGCAAGGTCGGGCTTCTTGAAATCGGGCAGGGCAAAGTCGGGCTTCTTGAACTCGGGCAGCGAAAATTCGGGCTTCTTGAATTCGGGCAGGCTAAACTCTCGATTCTGGAAGTCAGGTATGCTAAACTCGGGCTTCTTGAAATCAGGCAGGCTAAACTCAAACTCAGGCTTCTTAAACTCGGGCATGGTGAACTCTGGCTTCTTGAATTCGGGCATGCTGAATCCTGGTTTCTCAAAAGAAGGAGCGGCATCCCTGGTGGGATACGAAAACTTGGGCAGCTCGGGCAGGTCTGGAAGGGCCGAGCTGGTGGGCAGGTCGAGCACCTCGTCCGGCACTGCGATACTATCAGCAGCAGCGGCAGACACAGCATCTGCTGCATCCGCGGCAACATCAGCAGCAGCATCGGCAGCTGTGGCAGTTGCAGCGTCAGTGCTGGTGCTTGAAGCGTCCAGGCCCAGGTCTAGGTCCTTGAAGCTGAATCCAATATCCAGCCCCTCGCCCTCCGCGACTGTCGCCGTCGCATCTGCGATGGTGGAGACGGCATCGGGAGTGGGGAGCTGCGAGAGCGACGGCTCGAGCGATTCGGAGGCAAGGGCTGCCGCTGCGGGGATAAGAGCTGATGATGTGGGAGAGGGGAAAGGGGGGGGGGGGGAGAGGAGGATGAGGGGAAGGAGAATAGAAGACAGGGAGGTTGGGGATGAGGGAAAGAGACGAGAAGGAGAGATGTTAGGGATCGAGGCAGGAACCTTGGGAACGTAAGAACGGGGAGGTGAACGGATGAGTGGTAAGAGATGGCTTCGGTGCATACAAGGATAACGCTCAGTGGAAAAATGTTGAACTCGTGAATGGTGGAGGTTCGACAACTTCCGTTCCAGATTGATGAATCAATGTATCCATGGAGCCCTAGCGCTTGCTTAACGTGAATTGAGACGGATTATCAATAATGCCGACGCTGTTGAGCGCATTCACCCAGTACATGCAACAAAAAAATCCAGGCCTTCGCGGCAACAACCTAAAGTGATCACGCGGATGGTACCCGCAGCGAATCCTGTAGTCGCACTGTAATCTCTGGAAGCCTATACAAGTTTCCATTGCGTTCGTTGCGGGTTCAACTGGCAGCGCTCTTACAGGTGCTCGACGCGGCTGCTGCGGAAGAAGCGGCGAATTTTCCGGACCTGCTTCTACCGTCGGCTCGAGCGCGAATGGCGCACACAGCAAGCCTCGTATGGCATGTCGGAGCCGGACCGGCTGAGCTCTTCGCAGCGATCTGAAGTAGCGATAGTGGGGATAATCTTGAAGTGAGACAATGTTAATCCATTCGCCAGAAGTTTATTGGACAATGAAGAGTGGAAGCGAAGAGAAGTGAATTGATGATCAGTGCTCACCCGTGGCTCCGGGCGGAGGTGTCCCCGTAAAAGGCTCGACAGGCCAGATGATTGCGCTGTCGCCATGACGTGACGAGCCTAATGACCTTATGAGTGCTCGAATTCACTCCCTCCGTCCGTCAAACTGCTGATGCTGCCTGGTGCACTAGACAGGACAGAGCTAGTTTGCGAACCCCGTAGAATGCCCCTCACACCACAATATGAAGTGGTGATAGAAATTAGATTTGGAGGACGTGATCGGAAAAAGCCTCATGTGTCACTATCCCACGATTGTGACGGTGACATATTCGGAGAGTTGGTTGTGGTCGGGCGTGGTTGAGAGATCATTGCATCAGCCCTAGGAATTACGAGTTACGAGATGGAGGCTGCAACCCGGAGAGGATGGAGCGTGAATACGACCTGTAGCTGATGTGGCGCAATTGCAAATGCCCTGCTCTTTCAACAAGGGAGAGGGAAGGGCGGAGAGATCGAGACATCGATTTGAAGGGTAGGAGATGTGTCAATCTGGCTGTCAAAGTCGACGTGGCGACCATCCACAACTCCCGAATCAGAAGGATCCATTGAGCTCACCTGTGCCATTCTGGAGCCCCAGCATCCTTTGAAGGTGTCTGTGGCCACAGATAGGCTCCCACATTCAGGACAAGATCTCGCTCAAGTCCCAAATGCTTTAGTAACTTATCACCCGATACTAATTTAGGCGTCAGAGTGACCAGCCTTACTCACAGCTTAATATATTAAATAGCGCCGGGACACTTATTTGTTATGTATCTCATTGTGTAATCTTACTGTTTTGTAATTTAATTTTTTTTTGGGTTGCGTAGCATCCATTTATTTTTTGTTTGAAATTTTGGGGATATCATTTGAAAAGTGATTTTCTTACACACTTCTTGGAGCACACGTTTGAATAGTTGGAACAGTGTTCAAACGAATGCCCTAAATAGTGAATAAAAGCACTCTCAAATGAGATCCCCATGTGTGAAACCAAATACCGCACGCATCATGTTGAAACTATGAATTTGCTCGACCGTCCCATCTCGTCGATAAATACGGCGGATTGTACGGCCGAGCATAATATTCTGGTATCAACATGCACGAATGCAATTGTACAAATAAACAAGGTATGAGGTGGAGTGGTTGCTTCAAAATGAATGTTACGATGCACCATGTAGCAATAGAGGTTGATGGGGTCGTTGAAACAGCGAAAACACGCTGCCCCAAAGACGATTAACAACCTCTAATTGCATACATGACACATAGTAACACCACACTTTGAAACGCTCATCCCACAAACGCAAATGCAAACGCTCGTAGAAGGGTACAACACCACGCAACGGTTGTGAACGGATCGAAGTGGGTGCTCAATATACACCAATGCTGCAACTGAGATTGATGGGGCCGTTGAAACAGCGAAAACACGCTGCCCCAACGACGATGACAACCTCAGATCACAAACACGATGCATACCAGCACAACAACCCCCTATGAAACAACCAATTGACATGAACACACCCGCACAAACAGACCCGCACGAACACACACGCACACACATGCATACACAAATAGGATTGAGAGCAGACGAGCATAACAAAGAGTTGCAATCAAATCATTATGTATCAATCACTGCTAGCTTGCCCCCCCTTCCTCCCTCTTTCCGCCTTCCCTCCTCTCCCTTGACCATCAAAATCTCCTTCCACCCTTTTCCACATTGTCTCTTCTCTTGCATTCCTCTCCTTGCTCCCTACAATGAGTCTTGCACACCTTGCAAAACAAACATGTTAAGTAAAAATGAAATTTCGTCGGAGAACGCAGTAAATTATTCAATGACGAGAACATACTTGAATATGAAATGGAACTTGATAAGCAAGAATGTGTTAAAATCTGATAAACACAAAATGAAAGTACCGATGAGCATTGATACAAAGCAGAAAATTAAACGCAGGTCTTGCAACGAAAGTGAATTTGACGACTCACAAGCGTGGTTTGAAACATAGATCCCCTGAGGTCACGCACACCACGCTGGTGCGCAGCGAGGCTCCTCCAGCGAGCAACGCGCTGGGCATTGCCATGCTACAAGGCGCCAGAGAGTTGCAGCAAGGCACCGGCAGGCTGAGAAGAGAAAGCGCAAGCTGCCATAGCAAGGCCTGAGCACACGGCAGCAAGGCATGAGCTCACTGCAGCAAGGCGTGAGCTCACTGCAGCAAGGCGTGAGCTCACTGCAGCAACGCGTGAGCGTGCACAATAATTTGCCAGCGCGCTGCCGCAACAAGGCAGCAGCGGCGCACAAGCCGCCAGCGGGCTGCAAGGCGCACGCGCGATAGGCGCCAGCGAGTTAGGCGCCAAGGCGCCAGCGATTAAGGCGCCAAGGCGCCAGCGATTAAGGCGCCAAGGCGCCAGCGTTTAAGGCGCCAAGGCGCCAGCGATTAAGGCGCCAAGGCGCCAGCGTTTAAGGCGCCAAGGCGCCAGCGTTTAAGGCGCCAAGGCGCCAGCGATTAAGGCGCCAAGGCGCCAGCGCTCATGGCGCCAAGGCGCCAGCGATTAAGGCGCCAAGGCGCCAGCGTTTAAGGCGCCAGCGATTAAGGCGCCAGCGTTTAAGGCGCTAGCGATTAAGGTGCCAAGGCGCCAGTGCTCATGGCGCCAAGGCGCCAGCGATTGCAAAGGCGCCAGCGTTCAAGGCGCCAAGGCGCCAGCGATTAAGGCGCCAAGGCGCCAGCGATTAAGGCGCCAAGGCGCCAGCGTTTAAGGCGCCAAGGCGCCAGCGATTAAGGCGCCAAGGCGCCAGCGTTTAAGGCGCCAAGGCGCCAGCGATTAAGGCGCCAAGGCGCCAGCGCTCATGGCGCCAAGGCGCCAGCGATTAAGGCGCCAAGGCGCCAGCGTTTAAGGCGCCAAGGCGCCAGCGTTTAAGGCGCCAAGGCGCCAGCGTTTAAGGCGCCAAGGCGCCAGCGTTTAAGGCGCCAAGGCGCCAGCGATTAAGGCGCCAAGGCGCCAGCGTTTAAGGCGCCAAGGCGCCAGCGCTCATGGCGCCAAGGCGCTAGCGATTAAGGCGCCAAGGCGCCAGCGATTAAGGCGCCAAGGCGCCAGCGATTAAGGCGCCAAGGCGCCAGCGACTAAGGCGCCAAGGCGCCAGCGACTAAGGCGCCAAGGCGCCAGCGTTTAAGGCGCCAAGGCGCCAGCGTTTAAGGCGCCAAGGCGCCTGCGTTTAAGGCGCCAAGGCGCTTGCGCTTAAGGCGCCAAGGCGCCAGCGATTAAGGCGCCAAGGCGCCAGCGTTTAAGGCGCCAAAGCGGAAGCGATTAAGGCGCCAAGGCGCCTGCGATCATGGCGCCAAGGCGTCAGCGTTTAAGGCGCCAAGGCGCCAGCGATTAAGGCGCCAAGGCGCCAGCGTTTAAGGCGCCAAGGCGCCAGCGATTAAGGCGCCAAGGCGCCAGCGCTCATGGCGCCAAGGCGCCAGCGATTAAGGCGCCAAGGCGCCAGCGTTTAAGGCGCCAAGGCGCCAGCGTTTAAGGCGCCAAGGCGCCAGCGATTAAGGCGCCAAGGCGCCAGCGTTTAAGGCGCCAAGGCGCCAGCGCTCATGGCGCCAAGGCGCTAGCGATTAAGGCGCCAAGGCGCCAGCGATTAAGGCGCCAAGGCGCCAGCGATTAAGGCGCCAAGGCGCCAGCGACTAAGGCGCCAAGGCGCCAGCGTTTAAGGCGCCAAGGCGCCAGCGATTAAGGCGCCAAGGCGCCAGCGCTCATGGCGCCAAGGCGCCAGCGATTAAGGCGCCAAGGCGCCAGCGTTTAAGGCGCCAAGGCGCCAGCGTTTAAGGCGCCAAGGCGCCAGCGATTAAGGCGCCAAGGCGCCAGCGTTTAAGGCGCCAAGGCGCCAGCGCTCATGGCGCCAAGGCGCTAGCGATTAAGGCGCCAAGGCGCCAGCGATTAAGGCGCCAAGGCGCCAGCGATTAAGGCGCCAAGGCGCCAGCGTTTAAGGCGCCAAGGCGCCAGCGTTTAAGGCGCCAAGGCGCCAGCGATTAAGGCGCCAAGGCGCCAGCGCTCATGGCGCCAAGGCGCCAGCGATTAAGGCGCCAAGGCGCCAGCGTTTAAGGCGCCAGCGATTAAGGCGCCAGCGTTTAAGGCGCTAGCGATTAAGGTGCCAAGGCGCCAGTGCTCATGGCGCCAAGGCGCCAGCGATTGCAAAGGCGCCAGCGTTCAAGGCGCCAAGGCGCCAGCGATTAAGGCGCCAAGGCGCCAGCGATTAAGGCGCCAAGGCGCCAGCGTTTAAGGCGCCAAGGCGCCAGCGATTAAGGCGCCAAGGCGCCAGCGTTTAAGGCGCCAAGGCGCCAGCGATTAAGGCGCCAAGGCGCCAGCGCTCATGGCGCCAAGGCGCCAGCGATTAAGGCGCCAAGGCGCCAGCGTTTAAGGCGCCAAGGCGCCAGCGTTTAAGGCGCCAAGGCGCCAGCGATTAAGGCGCCAAGGCGCCAGCGTTTAAGGCGCCAAGGCGCCAGCGCTCATGGCGCCAAGGCGCTAGCGATTAAGGCGCCAAGGCGCCAGCGATTAAGGCGCCAAGGCGCCAGCGATTAAGGCGCCAAGGCGCCAGCGACTAAGGCGCCAAGGCGCCAGCGTTTAAGGCGCCAAGGCGCCAGCGTTTAAGGCGCCAAGGCGCCTGCGTTTAAGGCGCCAAGGCGCCTGCGTTTAAGGCGCCAAGGCGCCAGCGATTAAGGCGCCAAGGCGCCAGCGTTTAAGGCGCCAAAGCGGAAGCGATTAAGGCGCCAAGGCGCCTGCGATCATGGCGCCAAGGCGTCAGCGTTTAAGGCGCCAAGGCGCCAGCGTTTAAGGCGCCAAGGCGCCAGCGTTTAAGGCGCCAAGGCGCCAGCGATTAAGGCGCCAAGGCGCCAGCGATTAAGGCGCCAAGGCGCCAGCGTTTAAGGCGCCAAGGCGCCAGCGTTTAAGGCGCCAAGGCGCCAGCGCTCATGGCGCCAGCGTTTAAGGCGCCAAGGGTTGACGATGACCACTTAGCACTTTACGCGCCTATCACTCTTGTACTCACGAAACATGTCGTTTGCCACGGGCGCTTGTCAGCGGCGTTTTCCACGAGCGGTTTCATGGTCACGGGTGCCTGTCACAGAATAAGGAGCTGATGTTCGTACTAGCGTGAGGTATTAGCGTGAGGTATTTGCGTGAGGTATTAGCGTGAGGTAGTACGGGGTAATTCGGGAGGTACTAGCGGTAGCGTGAGGTACTAGCGTTATGGTGCTAGCGTGATGGTACTAGCGTGAGTGGAAAGAACTAGTTTCTTGTTCTTGGGTTGGGTTGGGTTATCGAGGTGGTTTCACATGTGTGAGCAGCACGTAAAATTCAGCAGACTCAGCTGATGCACTACTGTACACTGTCATAATACTAGGAGTGGGGCCTAGGCTTAGTAGCCTAGGCCCACACATAGAGTAGGTAGGATGTGCCCTAGGACTAGGGTTTTGGGTATGCTAAGGAGAATTGGAGAAGAGAGAATGGAGAATGGTGGGTTGAACTAGCAAGCAGCAGGATACATATAGGAAACCCTAAGGGG